AAAAAAAAAAAAAAAAAAAAAAAAAAAAAAAAAAAAAAAAAAAAAAAAAAAAAAAAAAAAAACTAGATCATAGTGTTTGGTCATTTTTAGTCGAGCTTTACCCATTGACCCTATAAAAATAAATGAACCTATATATTTAAGTAAACCTTCTGATGTGTATTGTTTTTAAAATAATAATAATAAAAAAAAAAAGTATTATTTGGTGGTTTGAGATTAAATAAATGAACACAAAATAGAAGTTAATTGTAAAGGAGTAGAGCTTTAGTGGAAACAAATAATGTAATAAAAAGTAGGGTTTTGCATAAAGTTTTATAGTGGAAACAAATACATGTGGGCTTCCTATGGATTGCACGCACGCACTACCACCCATTACCATTGTCTCCTATAATAATAAACAATTTTATTATGAAAAAACAGCTGCATATTTTGGGCTTAATGGGCTTGTTCTTGCTTCCTTCCACTTGTCTATATTGGGCTAGATGGGCTGCCAATGAAGCCCAAAACTGTTGCCAATTATAAGATTGGTGAGTATTTTCTTGGCCCAAACTGTTCTTCATTTCATCAATCAAATAAATTAAACTTGGTTTAATCATCAAATTAATTATATATATGGGTTGGTTGGAAAGGGAGTGATTGATTAGATATGAATCATTACTTTGCCCCTCTTCCTGCTTTGCTCTCTTTGTGCGTCTAGAAATAAGGTTTTGGTTTGTGTAACGGCCTAGATCCACCGCTAGCAAATATTGTCTTCTTTGGACGTTCCCTTTCGAGCTTCTCCTCAAGGCTTTAAAACGCGTCTACTATCCCCTTTCAACACGAAACTAACTTCATTCAGCTTTTGTTATACTTACTCTTTTTCTATCTTAAAAAATGGAGACACAAACACAAGGGACTTAGGGTGCTTAGGAAGCAATACATTTATTCTCTTCTTCTTCTTCTTCTTCTTCTTTCTTTTCATATTCAAACTCTCCTTTTGGAAGCATTTTACCCCATAAAATGCTTTCTGTTCTTCAAATTATTGCCTGCTCTCTTTGTATGTCTTTTTAGGACAACAAAGATGGATTCTATACCCTAACTTTTTGACCCACCACCACCACCACCACACTGCTCTCACCTCAAAACCGTTTTAAAATGTATACCTCAAGTTCTATATGTTTTGTGTTGATTGATGAACACAAAACAACTTTTGTTTTAATCACTCCCAATCATTGTCTGTGTCTAACTTAAACATACAACCCTACTACTACTATAACCCACTAATTTAATTGCATCTTACTTAAAGGGTTGTTTATGAATTAAGATATTATTAATGAAACGAAATCGATCTAAATGCATAGGTGACCGTGAACTCTCTTTAGATCGCCACCCTCTTTTAATCTTTATTCCATCATTGTTTCAGCATTCCCTCTTTTTCTTTCTTTTCTTTCTTTTTTCCATTTATATATCAACTACTTTTTTCTAATTCTCTGTCAAATACTGTTTTTTTTTTTTCAAAAAAAAAAAAGAGAAAAAAAGAAAAAGATTAAAGTTGAAGATGATTGAAGAATGAAAAAACAGATCTGTCTCGTTTGTTGTGTTGGAGAAATTACTATACATTTCATAGTAACGAGGGATGCAAAAGAGAGAACTTCTTTTCTTTTTCTTTTTTCTTTTTTCTTTTTTCTTTTCCCTTTTTTTCTCTCTTGATCAAGATGGGGATGCAAATTCAAAAAGAAAAATATGAAAACCTTCTCAAGAATTTCCATGTTTGTGTGCATACTTCATATTTTTTTTCAATGGCTTCATGTATAATGAAAGAACCAATAATTTCAATTTTGAAATCTTATGATAAGTGAGTGTTACTTGTGATTGTAACCGTTCAAACCCACTGCTAGCAAATATTGTCCGCTTTGGCCCGTTACGTATTAGTGTCAGCCTCACGATTTTATAACACGTCTACTAGAGAGAGGTTTTCACACCCTTGTAAAGAATGTTTTGTTCTCGCCAACCAAACCAACGTGAGATCTCACAACCACTTCCTTGGAAGTCCAACGTCCTCACTAGCACAGTGCTCAAACCCTAGCTCTAATACCATTTGTAACCATCCAAGCCCACCGTCAAGAAAGAAAAATGCAATGAATATTGGACACACTTCCCCACTCTCTCTTTTCACTCCTTTTTGTGTATTTGTACACAAATAAAGAAGGAGAAGCCAAAACCATTCCCACCACATGCATTCCACTTTCCCCTTCAAAATCCCAAATTTTACCTCGCCTACAAGAAAAGCATACCCTTTTATTTCCATCCTTATATTACAACAAAAACCCTTTCACTCCTCGTGTTTGTTTTAGTGTTTTTTCTTTACCAACTATGAGAACGGGCGGTTGCACAGTACAACAAGCTCTAACTTCCGATGCTTTGAGCGTTGTGAAACAAGCTCTGATTTTGGCGAAGCGGCGTGGCCATGCCCAAGTGACGCCTCTCCATGTGGCCACCACCATGCTTGCAGCCCCCACCGGGCTCCTCCGCACGGCCTGTCTTCAATCCCACTCTCATCCTCTTCAGTGCAAAGCTTTAGAGCTTTGCTTTAATGTGGCCTTAAACCGTCTTCCAGCTTCAAATTCCAGCCCCATGTTAGGCCCTCAATCTCAACACCATCCTTCAATCTCCAACGCCCTCGTTGCTGCTTTCAAACGAGCTCAAGCCCACCAACGCCGTGGATCCATTGAAAACCAACAACAACCCCTTTTAGCCGTCAAAATCGAGTTGGAGCAGCTCATTATTTCCATTTTGGACGACCCTAGTGTTAGCCGTGTGATGAGGGAAGCTGGTTTCTCAAGCACACAAGTCAAGAGTAAAGTGGAACAAGCCGTGTCAACCGAGACCAAGTCAAATGACAATGACGACAACGACGACGACGACAACAACAATACTAGTGTTAGCCATGTTATGGGCGCAGTTGGGATGAAATCAACATTGATAGAGGCGTCTGGTAGAGCGAGTGACGACGACATCGCAACTGTTATCAACGATTTAGCGGAGAAGAAGAAGAGGAGTGTGGTGGTAGTAGGGGAGTGCGTAGCAAGTCTTGAAGGGGTGGTTGAGGCAGCCATTGGGAGAATTGAGAAAAGGGAAGTGCCGGAGTGTCTAAAGGAGGTGAAGTTCATAAAGCTTTCAATTTCATGTTTTAGGAATAGGTCAAGAGTGGAAGTGGATGAGAAGGTTATGGAGCTTAAGAGTTTGATAAGGAGCTGTTTGGGGAAAGGGGTTATTTTATATGTAGGGGATATCAAATGGACAATAGATTATAGAGCTAATCATTCAAGTAGTAATCAAACAAGGGTTTACTATTGTCCGGTGGAGCATATGATTATGGAATTGGGGAAATTGGCATATGGGAATTATGTGGGAGATCATCACCATCACAATGGCATTGTTTGGATTATGGGAATTGCAACTTTCCAAACATACATGAGATGCAAATCTGGAAACCCTTCTCTTGAAACCCTATTGCCCATTCATCCTCTTACTATTCCGGCCGGC